TTTTTTTTTTTTTCTAGATTAACCCTAATAACTAAAAAAACTCACGTTGAGTTCATTCATTCCAATTGTTTCTTTAACAAACAAGTTTTACCTATAATTTAGAGTTATTTCACCAGTTGATTTAAGAATAAATTTTTAGTATAATAAAGTATTGATAAATACTGAATTTAAAAAAAAAAGTATAAAAATTAAAATACAACTAGGTGACCACTTAAAAAAATTTAAAAAATAATTAGAAATCTCCGAATATCCGAACTGAACCAAACCGAACCGAACTGTTCCGATAGTCCCGAGACCGAACTGAACCAAACCGAAAAATGAAAATATCTGAACCAAACCGAATTAATTTTTTGGTACAGTTTCGGAGATTAAATTTTAGTAATATCCGAACTTCGATACGGTTTTGAGAATTTGTCGATCTCCAAATTGTACTGCTCACCCCTAATAATAACCTTCAATTTCTAAATTTTACCAAAACAAATAGCGAAATTTTTAGAAACTTAAAGCAATTGTGCCCCCATTAAGTAACTTCCTCCACGACCTGCAGGCTTAATCGAGGGGAAAAGAAAACTGCTAATTCAAAAAGCGTTTTTGGGAGTTCAAAAAGGGTAACGAGTGTTTGATCTTTGATGCTGCAGTAGAGACCCACCTCCACTCGACCAACACACTCTGCACTAGTTTCTTCTCCTTCGTCACCTTAACCTTGCCTCATTTTCGGATGAATTTACTCGGCGCAACCCCATCAGAATCGAAGATTCGTGTCCTTACAGCAGAGAGAATTGCAGCGGCGGCGAGTTTGGCGTAGTAGGATGCCTTGCGGCGGCGGTTTTAGATTGAGGTTGAGAGCTATACACACGTGGATTCGGGACTATGACAACCTCCAGTGGCTCGCGCTAAGGCTGATCTACGCCCAAATTGGCTGCGCCTTGGTTGGATCGCTCGGCCCAATCTACAACGGTGTTTTGCTCGTCGATTTGGGGATTTCGCTGTTCGCGCTCGTCGCCATTGAGAGCAGCAGCCAGAGCCTCGCTAGGACATACGCATTTCTTCTCTTCTGTTCCATTTGCCTCGACTTTTCATGGTTCTTCATTTTCTCTCATCATATCTGGTACTAATTTTAATCCTCCTCTCAGGCAATTCTATAATATTAATTCACTATTCCTATGTGTTT